GCATCGTGTCGATACGTTGGCAGCGCGACTTCAGATCGGTGTCGTCGGTGTCACTTTGTTGGTTGTAGTGAACCCTGCAGAAGCCAGCGCACGTGACGGACGATGGGCCGGCATCTGAGATCATTCACTGCAGCATTTAAGCTGCAAGTGATTGACTATGCCGAGGAGCACGGGAAGCGGGAAGCTGGACGAAAGTACGACGTCGATGAGAAGCGCGTGCGTTACTGGATGAATCAGAAAGATGCCCTCGCCGCTACTAACAGGAGCCGAAAGGCGTTTCGCGGGAAAAAGTGCAAGTACCCGCAACTCGAAAGCGAGCTCGTCAACTACGTCGTCGACACACGAAGGGACGGCTACGCCGTATCGACTGACATGATACGCGTCAAAGCCCTCAGCATCGCTCGCCACATGGAAATACCCCCGGCACAATTCAAGGCAAGTCGGGGCTGGGCTACGCGGTTTATGAACCGTAACCAGCTTTCTATTCGGCGCCGAACGACGATTTGCCAAAAACTGCCGCGCGAGTACGAAGACCACGTCATTAAGTTTCATCGCTTCGTGAATGCTCTCAGGAGGGAGCATGAATACGACCTGTCCCAAATTGGGAATGCGGACCAGACACCTGTGTGGTTCGATGCACCGGAAAGCACCACAGTGGATTTAAAAGGTGCGAAAAGTGTGTCTGTGCGCACGACTGGTGCAGAACGCCAAAGGTGCACTGTGATGTTGTGCATCACGGCAGACGGCAGGAGGCTTCCGCCGTACGTCGTATTTAAAAGGAAGACTCTCCCAAAAGAGAAGTTCCCTCAGGGAATCGTCGTACGTGCGCAAGAGAAGGGCTGGATGTCCGAGGAACTGGTCGTTGACTGGATTAAGACCGTCTGGGCAAACAGACCTGGAGGGCTGTTACAACGGAAAGCCCTCCTTGTTTTGGACAGCTTTAGGGGCCACTTGACCGACCGCGTCAAGAACCGAGTTGCCGCAACTCGTACGGACTTGGCCGTCATTCCCGGTGGCCTGACGAGTGTGCTGCAGCCGCTCGACGTATGCGTCAACAGACCATTCAAAGTGGAATTTCGCCGATGTTACTCTGAATGGATGGCTGGAGGCGTCCACGAGAAGACCCCTACAGGACGGCTGAAGCGGGCGTCGCTCCAACAGGTGTGTGAATGGATTTTGAATGCGTGGCGTGCCATGTCAGTAGAAGTAGTTGCTAAAAGCTTCAAGGTAACGGGAATTTCGAACTCCATGAACGGCACCGAAGATGACCGTCTCTGGGAAGACGCGGACGCCGAGGCGAGCTCCTCCGAGAACGAGGACAGCGAAATGGAATCCGAATAAAAACATTTCTGGCATGTCATTTGTGACTCTTGCACTCTGCTACTGTTGCATAAACAGTACAGACCTTTGGCCTGTACTGCCTGTACTAAATCGGCCTGATTCGTGTAAGGGCCGCACCTAGCAAAATTTTCGAAAAAAAAGTGCGGCCCTTACACGAGTATATACGGTACTCCCCTTTGTTACTTACGCTTACAATAGCGCCACTCAGTCTACGACAGGATTCTCTCCGTTCTTTCTCCTTTATGGGCGCGAACCTTCCTCATTCCTGGACACAATTCTTTTGTACCGTCCGGACGCTTCAGAATCCACTACTCTATCCGAAGTCGCCACCTATGCGGAAGATTGCAGGCAACTCGCACGTTCCTTAACCGCACAAGATCAAGCGTACCAGAAGGACCGTCACGATGAAAACCTGCCCCCCCAGTCATATTCGCCTGGCACGTTGGTATGGCTTCGCGTTCCCTCATCTGCTCCTGGTGTTTTAGTAATCAGTAGTGAGATGGCGTGCGTGGGGCGCGTGCTCTAAAGGTCGTCATGTTGGGCCACCCCGCACATCGCTGTGCATGCACGCCTCCACACGGCGCAGTCAAAGTGCGTATGGATGTTCTCCAGCGTGGTGGCTCATTCGCGCTTATTTCGGGATGCTGGTGCTTTGTACTTCCTGTGCTGCCACCACAAGTTCGCTTTGGAATTACAGTAGTTATAGAGAGCACGAACATCAATTCACTGGCTGCTGCGGCTACGTTTGCGAAAGGAGCGCGCTGCTCGCACATAAAGTAAGAGTTGTGAGAGTTGTTTGCCCATGCTTGTCCTGTGTATGTTCATTTTGCGCGTGTCTTCTGCTATTGGTGGACACTGGAAGTTTCCAGCTGCTCGACGTTCTTCACGGTACATTGCAATTTGCTACCGCAGCATTCATTCCTTTGCCCTTGTGGCAAAACAATGCACAATGAATGCCCAACTACCTTTGCGAGGACACGTTTCACTTTTCGTGTTAAGCCGATTCCTAAAGAGAGGGATCAACTGCATTTTCGATATACAGCATAATATTTTTGTAAAAATAGTAGATGAAAGCAATAAATTTCGAAAATGTTTTCCAAGTTAAAGTCTTTAATGGTCTGCAATAAAAATGTCAGAACTCCATAAACTATGTCTCATGGAGAAACAATTTACAGGGGACAAACCAAATACTATATGAGTTTGGGAGTAGAACTTCAGTAAAACCTCCATGATTTCACATTTTTATGGTAACACTGATTTTGTAGTATGCCACATTTGTAGACATCATAGTTCAACGTATACAGTCTACAGTATTTTAATGTACTTCGTTGATTCAGGCTCTTGTACTTGTCAACTTCGTGCTTCAACTTTTAGGCAAATATTATTTTAAAGATTTGGTGCCTAAGTGATTGTGTCGCTTTCTCTCACTAATGCAACAGGTTTCATTAAAATCAGTATGGCGAGAGCATTCATTTTGAGTGGTCGTATCGAAGGCTCTCTTAGCTTATTTGGGCAAAAAGCATCACCCAGACCTTAATAAGTTAACAGCTTCGTTTCGTAAAGCAAATATTGCCACCCACACGTAGTGGGTCGACAGCAAGAGCGGCTTTCAATCTGAAGGAAAAAGAGGATCGCGTGCTTCTTCTGACTCGAGAGCCAGCCACGACTGACGCATTATCTTAGAGCTAGCTACTTGGTTGTCTAATAAACCCCCAGTACTTGAGATTCATTGTGACAATATAAGTGAAACTGCTCCATCTCATGGTACTGAAATGGAAGCTGTGAAATTTCTTTCATTTTCTAATGGTTTCAGTGATACTCTACTAAGCCATAAATTAGAAAGTGACTGGCTTGTGTTTACGAAAGACAGGTAATGTTGACACTGATCCACCTATTGCATTCTTGGTGTGCAGATAAAAAAAGAGCACTAATCAAACAAATTTTACTTGTGTTTATTACCTATAGTTTTATTATATATATTAAGATTAGGTGCAAGCAACACTTTTATCTTGTTTTGTTTTCAGGGATCTGAAAGGTGTGTATTGTTTTCAATTCAGTGTGCCAGTAGTATATGTTCTGCAAATGATTAATAATTTCAATAATATATGATAAACTTGTTATATCAAAGAACATTTGAATTTTGCTTTGGTTATTTTGACAAACTGGCAAGTTTTACAAATACTTATACAATGCTAATGTTATTTTTCCACTGCAAGTTTCCTGTACTGTTTCGTGAATAGTTATACAAAAACACTTGATAATGTGGATTCATCGTAAAAAACAGCGTGGTTATACGAGAGCAGAACGACAAGAGGACATGGCGCTTTTGTCCTTCTTTGCTTGCATAATCGTGCTGTTGTTTACGATGAAGACATGCCAAGAAGCTCTAGTTTTTACCCTTTTACTGATAATGTGGCTTTTGTGTTACAATTCAGATAATAGTCAGAGTCGTAAGTAAATGCTACTCATATTTTTTTTCAAATAATTTAGCAAGTAATAATTAGTGCTTATGCACAGTACAGGTATGATATTTTTAGGTATGTTTTTTTTATATTATGCCTCGTAGGATGAAGGAAGATGATCAACTTCATCAAGCTAGAATTACACATGTAGTGTGCATAAGTGTTCTTGCTTATAAATTTTAGACATGCTTACAGAAAGGAGTGACGGTGCAAGCATGGTTTAGTGAGAGCCACATTTGGGGTGCACGTAAATTATATTAGTCAGCAAACTCATTAATGAGTCAGCTCACTCGGACTCTTAAGTGAGCCGGGAATCTGAGTCTGAATAAGTCTGAGTGAGTCCGTTTCAAAAAAAATTTTAGTGAGTCTGAGTCCGAGTCAGCTCAATATGTTTTTGGTGTCAGTCTGAGTGAGCTACACCTTTTATTGCCAGCATATGGTGCTATATATCAGCATTATATTGGCTAACATTTGTACTCAAGTCTATTCACACATATTTCAACGCACTCACGTTCATGCACCTCCTCAATGTTTATTGATCAGGGGCATGAGTTTGAAAGGGAAGGGTCCCCACAAACTCTTTCGTGGGACGTTCTTGATAGACATAGCTTGAGGGTTGCATGCTTCATAAAAATGTTTTGACAGAATTGCAATGACCGATAACTCTTAATGGAAGCTATAAGATGCATATCATAGAGCACCGATTATGGGAGATATTGGCGTTGAGAAGCATTTACAGGATGATCAGAAAAGCTAGTTTTAGTTTAGCGGATGCATGATTCGACTCACTCCTGCTCGCTCAGACTTAGATTAAGCCATGAGTTTGAGTCAGTCCGATGGATAAAGTTTAGTGAGTCGAAGTCCGAACGAGTTCTCTTGATGAAAACTTCAGTGAGTCTTAGTTCAAGTGAGATCTCAGAGCAAAATGTATTTCTTGAGTGAATCTCAGTGAGTTCCAATTTTTTTTGCCCACCTGTACATAAAGATGAACACTAGCACATGATTTTCATCATCATTCTTTCTTAGCCATATCATGGGAAGTTTACATTTGTGGGTGCTTTTGTGTTTCCGAAAGGTCTGTAGAGACTTAATTGTGTTGCTTAAGTGTGTCTGTGTGTGTGTGTATGTGTGGTTTATTTTTTTTCTGTTTTAGAACATCTGTATATAAAATTTGATGGTGTTTTTTAATACATGCAGAATGCACCACAAGACTCTGTTGTAGTGCTGCATGCCTGTGCTCACAACCCAACCGGCATTGATCCCACACAGGATCAGTGGATGAAGATTGCTGAAGTCATTAAGGTTTGGCACTTTTATGGTTGACTTCTGTATCATATTAGCAGAGGCAGTCAAGTTGAACATACTTTCATCATACAAGTAGCAGTTATTGTAAAAGTTTAAGTGTTGCTCTAAATTTGTTTGTGGAACATGCCTTGGTGTTTAAATCACTGTTGTCGCAATTTGCAGCCCAAGTGTAGGTACATAGTTTGATGAGAGCAAGAAAATTTGTCTTCATTATCTGTAGATTACAAATATATATTGCTAGACATAAAATTTATTTCTCCTTTTTGCCCGGTACTGTGTCTGACTGCACATGCCTCTGTTTGCCAGGATATAGGTGTGCCACTGTAGGAAGTTTTCATGTTTGACACTTGGATGTTGGATGCCGTTTCATCACCAATGTGGGCTTTCAAAACATCTGAGCATCACATATGCTCTCTCTGTTGTTCAGCTTTAAATTTAGTCAATTGTAGCTTATGTTTGTCCATTAGTTTTTATTTCTATTACAGTTAAACCTGAATATAACAAAATTGACAAATTCCCAGAAAAATTTGTTATAAAGAGAATTTCGTTATAAGCAGGTCTGACAAAAAGTTCTGTAAATAAATGCACAAATTAAACAGAAGGGGAACTGAAGGCAGAGCTCACCCAAAACACTTATTTAGCGGTAAAAAACTGCATTAATATTGGGATAGCAATTATATGGACACTATGAGTTTTTCCCATCGTCACCATATTCTGTAACAAGTCGTAACTTTTACGAGCGGGTACATGTGCGTGAGTGCTGCTGAAGCCGAGATCAAATGAGCCGGCCCATCTCTATCGCCTGAAGGGTGCACAAGAGATACCCTCGCGTGTTAGACCTGCCGTCGAATGCTCAAACAGAAAGGAAGCCACCCGTCTTGAACAAGCATGAAAAGACGCGGCGGGGGTTGCTCGAATGGCAACAGTGAACTTCGATTTTAGGCGCACGGTCACAATTGCTGGCGTGTGTGCTATTTTGGCAAGCATCAGTGCACTTCCAATGCGAAGAGACTGCGTGAAGAGAGCACTTCTTCCTGGAGCAGCTGTATTTGCTTACACCAGCATTTTGTCGGAGTTCTGCAATATCAAATTTAAAAGAGTTGACTGCCAGCCTTACTTTGTATTATATTACAATTTGTTGTTATCGCATTCACTGTACTGCCTTTAACGCGCCGTTGTGTTGCCAGAGCTAATCGGCAAATCGCAAATGCTACGGTCCCACAAACTCATGGCGCGGTACAAGACTGCAAAGTGCGTGGTGAGTCAACCTCTGTAGACCCGTTGTCATCACCGTAGTCTCAGAAAGTTTCCATCAGTGCTTAACCTGACATCTCCCCCAGTCAAAAAAGTTAACATGGTCCAATTAGAAAAATACCAATTGGCCACAATTGGTTTGCAACCCATTGGAATTTCACCATTATTTGGAAACGTACCAATTACGTCCATTTGCTAAACCAGTTCAGATCCAATTAATTACAACCATTTGGACTGAACTAGTGGCTAATTGGTTGACCAGCTGATGTAGGCTGGAGTCCAAATGATGACATTATTATTCTCGTATTAATTGCAATAGCACTTATATGAACACTCCGGCTGGATTTTGCCACTGGCGTCATCATCACTCACCATATATATATATATATATATAAAAGACCTCCGGCATGGGGAATCGCACTTGGAACCTCTTCATTGTGACTGCGAGGCATTAATTACTGAGCCACTGAGGAGCACACCCTTCAACGTGCAAACAGCAAGCTATATATATCTACCACTTACTGCTAGTGATGGGCATGAGGGGGACTATCGTGTTTTCAGAATTACCAGCAAGGTGGCGCAATGGTGTGCACCCTCCTCTCCTATGCGTACTTTGCCTCGCGGAGAAGAGTGGGTGGTTGTAAAGCCCCTTTACGCACACCCGCGTGCCCTTATCTTGTGGTTGGGAGCATCTTATATCTAGGCTGTCCTTAAGCTTTCGCGGGAACGATTCTGTTGTAGTTACCGGGTGCACAAACAAAGGTCACTGCAATCTTTGCACAGTCTCAATATGCCAAAAGAGCACACTTCTCTGACACAGTGAAGTAATAATTGTGACACTTATTTGCATTCAGCTGTACCTGTGAGTACGTTTCGTGCATTATTTGTGCGTGAGAAACGCGGGGCACGTTTCAATCTGCTTGCCATTCTGTGTGTGAGCTTCCAATTTTTTCTATCGCGTTCATTGCTTAGCCTTTGCGGCAAAGCTGTGACTTTTTTTTTTTTTGTGAACACCAAGCTAAGGGTGTGATTAAGAGAGAAGCCAGACGTAGATGGCCAGATGGACGGACCGACGGATGGATGGACGGGTGGATGGACTTAATTCATAAATGAGTTGCAGTTCCAAATGTATTGCCGACTGCGTTGGATATGTACAAAGATAATGTGTCTACTGATGCTGTTTTATCATGTTGCAGTATATTTTGAACCAGCTGGACAATCTTATGTAAATTAAATGCCCAATCTGTAACTTATTGGTATCATAGCAGCCTGCGATAAATATTGACATCAATTGCGAATGTCATTTTATATAGGCATGTAGACCTGGAATGCAAGATCGCAATGACATTCGTTTTGAATGTCATTCGCTGAGAATGACATTACACGAGCCATGTGACAGGGGCATGAATGCACTACTATATCAATGGCATTTAATATGACCCACTGGCAAGCACAGCATTCAGCACTGTGTGTGTTTTATGGGGTCTTGAAACCAGCGGTGCTCATCATGGACAGTCACGCTGTCGAGCACGCCAACACATACACATTCATTGAACAGCTTTTACAATGGCGAGCTCGCCAGCTGAATCTAACAAATAACTAGTAACATGCTAAATAACCAAATATAATGCCAATACAATACACAGACAGCATAACACATGTTGTGTAATGCAAATGCGGTATCGCCGATGTCCAGCTTGCCTCAAGAGACTGCTGTAATCGAGCTACGGCATCTCGCTCCTGGAACCTTTGGGCAGCTGACCATCACCGACCACATCAAAGCCCATAAGACCGACAGAAGTCATGCTCGAGTGCCCGGTGTTAGGAATTTGCTGTGCCGCGATGGTAGCGGTGGCGAAGAGCGGCGAGCCGTCGAGCGGACTTCGCTGAAGCCTTTGCCCTAAGGCGAAGCAGGGAGGCAATCCATTTTGAAAACAGTAACAAGAAGGAGCGTTTACTGTAGCAGGTTGTCGTTTTTATACTGAGCCGGCCAGCACGACAATGTCGGCTGGGCAAATCCTCTAACATGGGGGGCCGGCACGGCCTTAAATAACGTCCTTGGTCCATTCTCTCAGACCAGTTCTCTGGCTCGGAGGGGGAGACGTAGCCATACCCGGAACTGCCAGGTGGTTCGGCGGAGGAAGGGACGTTATCCCCGGAACTGCACGGTTCTTCTGCACGGAAGGCGGCGCTGGGAGTGGGGGAGACAGTTCGTCGGAACAGCGCTCGATCTCGTGAGACGTGCTTTTGAACGAGGAAAATGTCTGTGGCACAACACCGGATAACCTTGCTTTTGCCAAGCGGCACTACTGGTGCCACTATGCGGCCGCAGTGCCTTCTCTCACACGGCGGAAAACGAACTAAGACTAATCCGCCAAATGCACGTGTGCCATGAGGCAAAAACAACTTTACAAGGGTTGTTGTAACTCCCCTACAGTTTCTGTGTCAATTTTTTGTCCTGTCCTCAATGCACTTTACCAGTGGCAGTTATAAATGGCACGCTTTTTACTTCATCAAAGTGCCTTTGTGATCATTTATTTTTTGGGATACGAGATTTTGCTGATGGTGGTCTTGTCAAATTATTTAACATTATTGTATATGGGAGCAGTCACAATGTTTATCCCAGTTTACGGGAGGTTAATAATTGTGGGTTCAAATACTACCGTAATATGCCGACGCTATACGACTGTTTACCACTAATTTTCATCTGTCTCTTCTGAATGCATCCTTTACCCTGTTTTTATCGTTACAGACAGTTTATTTACTAACTGTTGTTTTTTGTTTACCGATTGTGTCTCCTAAATCTAAGCTCTTTGAGATCTTTAATACTGTTGCTTCTTCTCTTCTTCCTCTCTGCCTATTTTCAATTTCTTTGTTTTTGTCCATTTTCTGACTATGCACCTGGTATGGTCTCCTGATTTCATTGTCTTGTAGCATTGCCACTGAATATGTGAAAGTAGATGATAACGATCAAGCATAGACTTTTACCATCTATTTTACAGGCCAAAAAGCTGTTTCCATTTTTTGACTGTGCTTACCAAGGATTTGCCTCTGGAAGTCTGGAAAAAGACAGCTGGGCTATTCGCTACTTTGTCTCTCAGGGATTTGAACTCATCTGTGCGCAATCGTTTGCCAAGAATTTCGGCTTGTACAGTGAGTATATACTGACCTTTTACATGTTTCTGTTTGCCAAGCGTAGATATTATTCTGTTTTATAGCATTGCAAGCATTGCATTTTACGATGCTTGAGGTGCTATGAGGTGTAATTTTAGGTGTTATTGATTTAAGAAAATTGCAGCTGCAGAAGGATCAGTACAAGAAAATGTGTACTCCACATGTGTGGTACTTTTAGCCAATACACTATTCATGGCAACGAATTTAGTATTGCATACTGGGAGGCACAGTTTCTCACCTTCTGTATTACGCCCATTTGTAACTATAAACACCTTTTCTAACCTTCCACATATTCAGAGTGTCAAGAAATCCTCAAAAATAAAGAAAATAAAATATTTGCTTGGTGGCTTCATAATTATTTCTTTTGTAGCTGCGTGCATTCAAAACGATCAGAGGCATCAGTTACAGTAGCAAATTTAAAAATAAGAATAATTAAATTTTTAATTAATAGAAACAGGCACCTAGGTCCAGTGTGAGAATCGTAGTCGTTCCTGTGAAGATCCCATGGCCAGTTTGAAGTTTTGATAAAGCAGCTTTGGTAATCATTGCAGAGTAATTAAATTAGAGTGTATTTGCTGTTGAAACCAGAGCCAAAGTGCCGATTAGTGCTACTAATAGACAACTGGAATGATGTCATTGTTCACAACGATGATTGCAATAGTGTTAGTTATTCTGTACTTATTAACACATGATCGGTGGTTGATGTGACGCTGCTCGCTCATTCTGAACCTCAGAGTATGCATTTCTACATTTTAGTTTCGATGATGAACTTGCTCAGATTTATTACTCTGCTAAAATTATAAGTGGCTGGCTTTTTAAAAATCACTAAGCATCAAATGACTTTTCTCAAGAAGGTCTCCAACTCTCCCATTTGACATGACCGCTTGTCTCCACTAAATAGAGAGTTCATTAATTTAATCTTTGCACTAAATAATGTCACCATTTTTTCTAAAATGTCTGCCACCAAAATAATAATGATAATAAATACAATGGTAGAGAGCAAATATAGCATTTTTCTTGTTTCTTGAAACACATTTCTTGAAACACCCAGTATACAATAAAAGGTTCGGATATGTGAATTTGTGGTTTTAATTATATTACAGCTGAGTAGATACATTGGTAGTGAGTATATGGACAGTTGCCACGTAAGGCTAGGGTGTGTAACATGTGTCTTTACTTTTATTGGGACATTCTCACATATCTTGCTTTTCAGATGAACGAATCGGCAACCTCTTGCTTGTTATTGATGACAAGGAAGCCCTAACGAATGTCCTAGCTCAAGTAACATTGCTTGTGCGGGGGAACTATTCGAACCCTCCCAATCATGGTGCCCGCATTGTCTCCAGGGTTCTCAACACACCGGAATATTTTGAGGAATGGTGAGCATAGGAACTTACGGTACATTGCTTTACACTTTTGTGCTGTAAATACATTAAGCAAGTACAGTTAAGCATTGAACAGGTGTTATTATGCACTTCAGCAAGCTATGTTTACTTAGTTGTTTCAGATTAACAAAATTTTGTATTTCTAGATAAAGCAAACTTACTCTGAAGCTCAACTGGTGGGCTAAAGAGAAAAAAAGAAAGGTGCAAACTTCACCCTTACTAATACTTAGAACCGGGCTGCGGCAGCTGCATTTTCGTTGGTGATAACGCAAGAGGCCCATTTACTTAAGTTCATGTTAAAGAACCACAGGTGGTCAAAATTTCCGAAGTCCTCCACTAGAGCGTCTGTCGTAATCCTATTGTGGTTTTGTGATGTTAAACCCAAAGAGTTATTATAAATAAACATTTAGTATGTGAGGACTGAAACTAGGTGTAAGAAGGAATAATCTGTGTTCTTTATGCCAAAATTGTGCACATAATTACAGCTGGAACAAAGCACCTAATGATTCATATGGGGGTTTAACGTCCCAAAACCACCATATGATTATGAGAGACGCCGTAGTGGAGGGCTCCTGAAATTTTGACCACCTGGTGTTCTTTAACGTGCACCCAAATCTGAGCACATGGACCTACAACATTTCTGCCTCCATCGGAAAGGCAGCCGCCGCAGCCGGGATTCGATCCTGCTACCTGAGGGTGAGCAGCCAAGTACCTTAGCCACTAGACCACCGCAGCGGGGCAAACAAAGCACCTATTGTGGGTATGTAACAGTTTATGTGTTTAGGCTGACAGTAAATACAGCTGAGCTTTTGCCTGAAAGCTTGTGTGAACATTAAAAGGACCTCTTACCTGATCATGGCATTATAAAAGAAGTGTTCATTTCATAAACCTAGTTATACACAATCAACAAGAAGCACAGTTTTCCTGTCTGAACTTATCTCATGAATAATGTTAATTTTCTGAGCTTATGTGGCAACTAAAGTTAACAGAGAGGTTGTTTAAAAATGAATGTTTCTTTACATTGAAGTACAGTGAAACCTCGTTAAACCTCTGTTGGCCGGAGCTCGCAAAAAGTACGTAAAAAGCGAACATTTTTTGCACTTTGATAAGTTGTGTAGCACTGTCCGATGACGCACAGGGTTGGTATAGCGAGGCCTAAGCCACCCAGAACTCGCAGTAGAACACAACCTGTCGCAACAAGTAAAAAAAAAACTAGTACGTTGCGCTGGCTGTGCCGATCAAGCCATGGGTAACCGGCGGAAAGGCAAGGATACACCCGTGACAGAGCCCGGATGCACTTGAAAGTGGTACCAAGCAGATCACTCACTGTGATTGCATAGCACTCAACTCGGCGCGAAAATTGCTGTTATTTTTTTCTTTTCTAGGTGCCTATAAATTACAGAGAAACCTTGTTAAACCGTAGTTGGCCGGAGCTCGGGAAAAAGTACGTACTAAACGGTAGTACTGCTTAACCGAAATAGCGTCAGGTCGCTCACTTACCTGTCAAAAAAAGAAACCTTCAGGGAGTGCGATGAAAGAACAAAAAACGTGCAGTAATTTATCAACTTCACGTGACAAAGTCTGTAATCTTGATTTGACTACGTGGCGGCCTATCAGCAACGACAGCGACCTCAAACTCACTTATGCTGTGAGCCAGCTTTTCCGCCAGCCCCCTCTTCTCGGCAAATACCCACATGACGCTGACGCAATGTGCAGCTTCGGCCACTGTCGGACCTGGATCACCCGTGTTGTCGCTTTCCATGTCGTCCTCATCACTATGATTTGGCGACAACCGAGGCAACAATGGCTTCGTTGGACATGTCCGAAGATGTCTGCACATTGCTGTCTGCGTCCCCGAAGTCGGGGAAGGAAATGCCTTTCGTAACGCCCTGCCGCTCCAGCACTTCAGCTAGCAGAGTTTTGCAAGCTTCGTCTACGATGTCCGAAGTCTGGTCGATGGTGTCACTGGCGTCATCTGCGTCGCCCGCACACACACTGAAGCCAGCACGCTTGAAGCAATTTTGAACTGTCGTTGCTTCAATCTGCCGCCATGAGTATTCCAGCAGGTGAATCGCGCTAATCAGGTCGATGGAGAATAATTTGCCACATTCAGTGGCGAGAAGAAATCTGCGCAGCAGATTCTTCTTGTAGAGCTGTTTTACAGCTCGAATGATGCCTTGGTTCAAGGGCTGGGCAATCGCTGTTGTGTTTGGTGGCAGAAATGCCAACTTCACAGCCGTCAGGTTGTCCAGGGCGACGTGTGCCGAAGCGTTGTCTAAAATAATAACAACTCTTCTGTTCTTAGCCGCAAAATGACGATCGATGAGGCGCACTTACTCTTCAAAGAGTTTTGCCGTCATCCATGCTTTGGTGTTGCTGCGATAGATGACTCCTGACGGAAACCGGGCGCCTTTGAAACATCTAGGCTTCGCCGACTTTCCAATCACGAGAAGCGGAGTTTTGTCGGTTCCAGTCATGTTTACGCAAAACGCCACTGATATTCTGTCTTTTGCATGCTTGCCGCCGGTGCACATCTCGCCTTTGAACGCGAGTGTTTTGTCTGGTAGCAGCTTGAAGAATAGCGCCGATTAATCCATATTAAAGATGTCATCAGGTGCGTAGTCTTCCAAGATGTTCTTCAGCTGACCATTTTGCCACTGCTCCGCACCATCCACGTCAGCAGCAGCACCTTCTCCCGAAACAGTCCTCATGGTAATGCCGTGCCTTGCCTTAAATCTGGCCAGCCAGCCATTGCTGCACACGAAGTTGTCATGATTGAGCTGCGAGGCAAAAACCAGGGCCTTCTCCACGAGCAGGGGTACGCTGATAGGCAGATTTTTTGACCGTGCAGCTTTTAGCCACTTCACCAGCGCCTCCTCTACATCCGAAAACGCCGAACCGCGTAGCCGGCACCTTTTTGCAGTTGCAGCAGCACTGCCAATCAACTTCTCTCTGGAATTCCAAATTCCACACACCATGGTTAACGACAGGTCCTTTTTGCGTGCCAGCGCGAATTTTTTCGTGCCACTTTCAATAGCACGAATTATGTCCAATTTCTCCTCTATTTTCAGCACCCGATGCTTTTGTCCTAGCTTCGGCATGACGCAAGTACGTAGCAGCAGAAGCACACATACACAACACGTGAAAAACGACGCGAGAGCTGTACGGCATGGATCAACCAGAGAACACCTATGCTTGGCGCCAAAGGAACAAAGAAAGCAAAGCACCATCGCGTGGACAACACCAGAAGCCTAGCCGGCCGAGTGCTTCTTGTTGCAGAAAAATCCAAGAGATGGCGCTCACCAACACAGCCGCCATCATCATCAACACAAACATGCGAGGCGTGTTTCGATCTCTGGGGCTTGCTGTTCTGTCGGGACGCCCAGTGGGGGACGACATGCCGCGGCGAGTGCGCAACGAAAAATGGAAAAACCACTTATTAACCGATACATACACAATAAGCTGGTACGGCTTATGCGGATACAAAATGCATTATGTTCAGTGGCCGCCGAAACGGGGATTTGACTGCACTACTTTTAAAACGAAACTACTGTTTACGTGGGTACGGTTTAACGACGTTTCACTGTAACTTCTTTGTGTTTTGGCAACGTATCATTCACAATGTGGGCATGTGAACAGCACTACGATGCAGTTCAATAATCCATTCTGCTTTGTCGTCCAGGTTACGGCATGGATTCATTTCACCGCCGTACCGATATCTCCAGCGATAAGTGACACCAACGGGCTGTCGTGCCATCTCAACGATATGAAAGTATCAGCCTGCCCGTGCGACAGCGACGTGTCTACGGTCATCCCTCTACCAAACGAAGGAATCGGATCGACAACAACATCATCGAGGGCTGCCTATATGAAGAGCTGGCAGAATCCCGGCGCCTTTAGTGGGCCTGTGAACAGCACTACGATGCAGTTCACTAATCCATTCTGCTTTGTCGTCCAGGTTACGGCATGGATTCATTTCACCGCCGTACCAATATCTCCAGCGATAAGCGACACCAACGGGCTGTCGTGCCATCTGAACGATATGAAAGTATCAGCCTGCCCGTGTGACAGCGACGTGTCTACGGTCATCCCTCTACCAAACGAAGGAATCGTATCAACGACAACATCATCGACGGCTGCCTATATGAAGAGCTGGCGGAATCCCGGCGCCTTTAGTGGGCGTGTGAACAGCACTACAATGCAGTTCACTAATCCATTCTGCTTTGTCGTCCAGGTTACGGCATGGATTCATTTCACCGCCGTACCGATATCTCCAGCGATAAGCGACACCAACGGGCTGTCGTGCCATCTCAACGATATGAAAGTATCAGCCTGCCCATGCGACAGCGACGTGTCTACGGTCATCCCTCTACCAAACGAAGGAATCGGATCGACAACAACATAATCGACAGCTGCCTATATAAAAAGCTGGCGGAATCCCAGTGCCTTTAGTGGGCGTGTGAACAGCACTACGATGCAGTTCACTAATCCATTCTGCTTTGTCGTCCAGGTTAGTTCGGTTACATCTTTGTATGCTAAAAAGTCGAATAACGTTTGTTTGTTGCTGTTCCCATGCCCGGGAGTTTTGTTTTCTGTTTTTCATGAGTGCTTTGACGTTGTAACTCAATTACTTATGTTGTCCGGTGATGTTGAGCTCAATCCCGGACCTAACACTAGAGCACAAGTGCAAAGTCCTCTTACTGATTCACAGACTAAGAAGTTTAATCATATGTTCATGATGTTACAAACTGTAAACACGCGTACCGAAAAAATGGAGAGGGACCAGACAGATCTAATCAAATCTGTTGATGAGCTTAAAAAAACACAGGCGAGTTTTCAAGAAAACCTTACTGTTTTAGACAAACGATTAACTGAATTAGAGCGCAAAACGTTCGCTATTGAGGAAGTTCAGGAAGAGATACAGCGTCTTCGCCAATCGATTAGCCATATTAGCAGCGAAAACGATCAACTGCATGCTCGGCAAGGTGAGCTCG